CATCCTGGCGTCTGCTGTCTGTTATCCTGACAGCCATACTATCTGTCCAGGGATTCTGGTAGGTCAGTTGATAGATTCACAGATTAGTGGTGTAATACTAGTTATGACCTGTTGGTTTTGGAGGTAAAATTCTTGGTTTGAACAACCCCCAGCCATATACAATATAACTACATAACACAATACATATAATACAATAAAAACTCATTTGCAGCTTTACATCAGTGGATATAATCAGTAGTGGGAACACATTTGTTTGCATTTTGTTTTGCTGTTTCACTGGAACAGATGGAAAAGCAATAGAGAATTATGTCGCATGTCTGAGTCACTTTTCACCACTGATGACAAATGTGGCGACCACTCAGCAAAACATCAAAATGATACATTCCAGTGCCAGATTCCCTCTCATTATAATATAACGCCCACTAAAGAAATGGAACCTGCTGCTCAACAATTGGAGATCTTTTCATCTCTATTTGATACAAGCTCTCCACAAGCTATTTTGTAAAATAGTAGGGACATGTGGATGTGGATGAAATGTACTCACTATAAATGACGCCTATGAGTACAACGGTAGTAATAACAACAGTGCTGATGTTCTCACCAGAAAGGAACAGAGGAAGATGAAGGAGACAAAGTAGAGGTAGGCAAACTCGCTCCCACATTCTGCCTCCACGTTACCAGAGAGAGGATCACACACCTTCTTTCCCAGACATGACAGCATGATGTCATGCCATGCCTCACCTGTAGCACTCCTACAAACACACGGTGTTGAACTACGGTTATAAAGTGTTCGTAACCCACACACAACATTCAACAGAGCCAGTCTGTGATTCACACACAAACCTGAAGAGCAGCATTAGGGCCTGGAAAAAAGTCCTGAAGTTGTTGTGCTGGTTAATGGCACTCTCACCATCCTCCTCAATCGCAATGTTCCCAAACAGCTGTGAAACACAAAACACACCCCAGCATAAGCCCACAATCTCATTGCCCACTACCTTCAAATATAGCCATTTACCTATTCTCAGTATGTCCTGTGCAACCTCCCACACACTCTCTCACATACTCACCTGCATGCCAATGATGGCGTAGATGAAGAACAGCATGGCGATGAGTAGGCACACATACGGCAGAGCCTAAGCAAAGCAGATAAGTCCAAATTAACCAACAATTAAATGTGGGTGAAAACCTGTTACTGGCAGTTTGAGGAGAAATGTGCAGCGTATTGTCAAAATATTAGGATAAATTTAAGTAAATTGGGACACTTTTTGAGCTGACTGGGGGAAAAAAATGTCCCAATTAACCTGAATTAACCCCTAACAAAAACATTGACTACATAGAAAAAAAGGTATGAATTCTTTATGCTTTAGTTATTCATTGTCCGTGTTTTATGCAAGCCACATTGTAAATATGCTCTTTTCATAACAAATTTCTGACTAGCACATAACATAAGTGCGTTTGCGCCTTATCTGATTAATCTTACGCGTAATGATTTGTTCTGATTTTAGTTTCGTTAATTTACACGCAAACAAAGCACCTCAGTTTCAGCTCACACAGTTATTACTGTTAACTTAAACTAAATCTGAAACGATTAAAAACACCTTTTTAATTGAAATACAACAGAAAAATCAAATAAAAATATTAGATGAAAAAAAATGTCGCTTTGGCAACTAACTTTTTAAGTTAAGAGGTAAAATTACTAACTGGGAAAAAAAAAAAACTAAAACTGAAAATAATATAAAAACAAAACCTAAACAATAATATAAAAAAAGTAATAAAACTTACAAAAGTACATAATAAAATGACTAACATTTAAGCTAAAAATTTAAATAAAAACTGAAAATATAAAAATAAAAGCTAATTCAAAATATGAATAAAAGCTATAATAATATTTGAATAATAAGAAAATAACAATACACAGGTCAAGCAATTCAGTCCGCAATGGTATTGATTATAATTGCAAAAAAAAACTTTTTTGTTGCTCAACAGCATGCTGTAGTAAAAACTATTTATCATCATAATGCACATTTTTCTTCACGACTTCATCATTGATGTTATAATTTTACCTTGAAAGACTGAACGAAGGTCCAGAGCAGGATGCGTATGGTCTCACCCTGCCTGAGCAACTTAATGAGACGAGCAGCTCTGAAGAGCCTTAGAAAACTCAGATTTATGAAGTTGTTCTACAGAGACAGAAAGGAAGCAGTAGACAGAAATAAAGAAGGGGCAGGCAGAGAGAGAAAGGAAATTATGTCAGTCTAAAACATTTGATTTCAAATTGTGAACAAATTAAAAAGGAAGGAAGGAAAGAAAGAAAGAAAGAAAGATAGAAGGAAAGAAGGACAGAAGGAAGGAATAAAATCAAACAAGGAGAAACCGACAAGACTGAACAGGCTCAGCATATCCAATGGTGAAAAAGGGGAAAAGACAAAGATAAAGGGAGGAGGCAGCAACTCATACAAAAAATTTATATACTTATATAATAAAATAAAATATTGTAAAAAAAAAAGTCCTCTTTAGGGAAAGGGAGTGCACAGACCCTAACTTCTTGCTTCAGTCAACCAAATGCACTGATCTGTAGATTCACGTGGAATCATGCCAACCACACTAATAGCTTACAATGACCAACAGAGGGCACTAGCAAAGACAAGAGACACATGTGCTGGGTTAAAGGACACATTTCAGTCAGTTGTGGGAAAGTTTTGTATTTTTTCCCCACTTTTATTGAAAGCGTCAGAAACTGAGGGGAAGAAACTGACTGTTTAATGTCCTTTAAGCAGCACAGAAATACAGGGAAACAAAAATAGAATACGAGTTCACGGTGGATTTAACGCCATCTCTACCTTCAAAATTTAATTTAAATTCATGCTTTAAATGTCTTTAGTACGCTTACATCTATGTGTGTGTTGATGTATTTGAATGCATCTTCTGTATGAAGATGCAGTGTCAGAAACAATAATTACTAGCGTTCCCTGTCAGCAAAAAAAAAGCAAAACATGCATTCAGGAAACCTGCGGAGAAACACCAAACGTTTCAACTGTGTGCTACGGATCAATTACACCTCAACTGAGAGGGGTTTTGTCATATTGTTAGACAAGCAGGGGTGAAAGGTCATCATGACTCGAGCACATGCATCATTATATCATCATCAGCCAAAGGGAAACAGATGCATTAGATGCATTACTACAAAAAAAAAAATTACAAACCATCTACATGTAGATGTTGCAGAAGCATGGTTTATAGCAGTATTTTTGGAGGTTGATTAAACAACCATTGTGATTGGTCAGGTCAGGTCATGGATATACACATGAGATTCATAGTGCATTTTGATTGGATGGAGTCATCAGAGGGCAAAGCCGCCATAAAGAAGAGTTTAAAGAAAGCATGTAAAACAAAGATAAAACAAGACATGAATTATCATTATTCATATCAACAAACCTTTCGATTCAAATAAAGGTTGATTACAACAAAAAAACGTTTCTTTTTAAAATGATGCACTTTTCATATGCATTCAATGCAGTTTGAAAAGCTTTTATCAATACATATATATTTGTCAGTCATGTAACTGGAGATCAGACTTCAGTCTTTAACTACAATTTTAACTAAACATCAGCACTGAACTCTTCAGGTGGATCTCCAGGAACAGGACTGGGGCTTATAGAATTCAAAACAAAACAAAAAACAACAACAACAAAAACCACACCATATCATAAAGTATTTCACATCACATTTCTGTTAAAAGACACCATAAAAGTCCATTTGTGTTTGCTTTGAGGTCATCGATATGCTTGTGTAATCCTAAAAACTGATAGAGTATATTAAATTAAAAATTCATATTCACAGTTTTTCTTTGCTGGGGAAATGGAACAAAAGTATAGCTGATTGAAATGTAGGCCCAATAAAATGCTCTCTAGAATGTGAATGTCCCTTTCCCCTAATGCAAGCTGACGTCGAAAGTATAACAACCAGACTGTGACGTAAACTAAAGCCTACTGCCATTTAAAAATATAAATTAAAAAAATGTACAAAAATAAATAAACAAACATTTAAAAAAATAACCACATAAAATAATACATTTCAAAATGAATAAATATCAAAATAAATACATAAAAATGGCATTTTCAAATAAATAATACATTTCTAATTCTTATAGACCAAATAATGTAACTAAACTCTCCAGGTAAATAAAAATTAAAAATAACTACATAAATAAAAATATTGTATTTCCAAATTTTAATATATATATATATATATATA